GGAGCTGTCGGGCCGGTTCCGGCTCCTCTGCCCGGCCTGGTGTCCCCCTAGGCAGGAGCGTGAGCATGATCCCCCCGGCTCCCACGAGGGGCCAGACGTCCAGGGGCTGCACAGAGCAGGGTGCGGGGTCTGAGCCCCGGGGCACGGTTTCCCTCCTCGGGGGGCTTTTCTAAAGGGCTCCTGGGACACATGACAAGACGTACCCAGCCCTGCACGGATCCCAGCAACTCGAGACATGGATTCGTTGTGGCAGCTTCCAAGCGACCCCCGCTCTGGCAGGGCGTCCCGGGTGGGGAAAGGGCTCTGGGGCCTGGGGCTGCCCGGGTGCGGCCCCAGCTGCGCCGTGGGCAGCTCTCCTTCCCCGCAGCTTCTCCAGAACCAGCCGGCACCCACCTCCCGGGCCTCCTGGGGCGTCGGGCGGGCGGGAGTCGGGAGCAGAGCCTTCCTGCAGGCCCCTGGGGGACGCCTCCGTGGGGTGCGGGCACCGTGGGGCTGGCGACAATGGCAGTGACTCACGGCGCCCTGCGGCAGGTCTATTTTTACTCTCCCCAGCCTGTCTCTGCCGTCCTCCTTGGGGGCATCTTCTTGTCGGGTTTAATAAGAGCCCTGGCTGATGAAAAGCCTGCGCCTTAACCTGAGATCTCGCTGGGACTCAGCTCCCCGGAGACGGCTGCGGGTTGGAAGCTTTCCTCCCACGCCAGGGCGCCAGCGCAGACGCGGGTCCCAGCCGGGTGCTCGTGGAGGGCGGGCCCTCGTCTCGGTCTCATGGGAGAAGGGCTCAGGTACTCCCCGATGCGTGTCAGGGCGTGAAGTCCGCACGCGGGCGAGATGGGACTATGGGAGTTTGGGGCCAGAAGAAGCACCAAGTTTATCTCACTCTCCGGAGAGACGGCGCAGCGCCGGGAGCGAAGACAGGCGCCGGCCCCGCGGCCGAACCCTGACCTCGTCAGGGCGAACTGGGGGCGGGGAGGTTGTACGGTCACAGCCCAATTAGTTTGTCCTCCTCTGTCCTTCACCGGCGGGCAGGTAGCGGGCTGGTCTCGCGCGCTCCGCGGTGGCGGGAAGCATGGCGCCGTCTCTGCTGCAGAGGTGGGGAGCTCGCGCCTCGCTGTCTGCCCAGGACCCTCAGCGCTGTCTGGACAGACTCGGAACCCATCGTCCGTGGGTGGTGGCTCCGGGCTGACAGCCGGTCGGACTGTGCACCTGCCCCGCTCCCGGAGGCCCCTCCCTCCGAGAAGTGGCTGCCGGCGGGTGTGGGCTCTCTGTCTGACCGCCAGGGGCGTCTCTGCAGGAGAGAGGCTCGTGCTGCTAACCCAGGGACGGAGCCTTGCTGCTCCGAGCGGCCAGTTGGAAGCTTGTTTTCTCGGCATCCCGTTAGCAGGGCTGTCCTGTCAGTGCTTTTTCCTTGGATTCCGTGGTGACCGAAGGGTGGAGTTTGGCTTCCGCGTGTCTTGCTGGGGACCGAGGCGTGGCACCACCACTGTGCCCCCCACCTGCTGTGCCCCCTTCCCTCCCCTCCCCACGCCCTGTGTTGCCGCCAGCAGGTGCACCCGGTCCACCCACACACAGTGAGGTGGGCGCCCCACGGATGTCCCCTCCCCGCCCCCGAGTCCCCCAGTCGTCCCCCCGCATCTCCCTCCTGAGTATACACAGTGACCCGACAAGTAGGGGCAGGCGGGACCGTGGGTCTCTCTGGACGGGGGGGGGGGTGTCCCGAGGCTCACCTGGGGGTTCTGGGCCAGCGGTTCCCCTGCGCAGGGGTCCCTGTGCCCCCGGGACGGTCTGCTGGCGGCTCCTCCTGGTTCCTGGTGCAATGTGCGCCCTGCCCAGAGGACTGCGCTGCTGGGTCCCCGTCAGCCTGTGTCTTCCTGCCCGAGGCCATCGCGGTGCTGCCCGCTGCGGTGTGGCCACCTCTCGCCTGGTCCCGGGAAGGGGATGGTTTGCTCAGAGCCACAGGAGGCTGAGGGCCACCCCAGCCAGCAGCACACCTGGTGCAGGTCCTGGGCAGGTGTCTCCCGGGTCTGCAGGTGCACGAGCAGGGGTGAGGCCCGTGCTGCTAATGCACTTTGTTTCCATCCTTTTCTCCTCCCAGAAGGGCTGAAGCTGGGGACCTGCCCTGACCCTCTGAGGGTCTGAGGTCCTGGCGGGGTCCTTGCCGGCCACGGCCCAGGGGGTCCGAGGTGGGGGGCTCTGTGCGGTGTCGGTTGCTTGGGGGCCGCAGGGCACAACAGCAAGCTGCCCACGGACGGGATGATGCCTGCTGCTGTCCCCCAGGCAGCCACGCGCTGGGGGGAGGGGCCGGCACGGCCGACTCAATGGGGCCGTTTTGGGGGCGGGCAGGGACACTGGCCTTGGTCCTCGGCTCTGTGGGCGTGGCGGAGGCCGCGCTGGCCATCAGCTCCTGTGCCCGCCAGGGCTCTTCTGCCTCTGACCGGAGCCCCAGGAAGGAGGATGGGGCTTCCGCGCAGCGCAGCCCTGGGTGGACCCCAGGCAGTCGGAGGGTCGCCCAGCCTGGGCTGCCTGGCAGAGCCCACGTCCCCAAGCTGGCAAGCAGCCAGGCCCCGCCCTCCTCTCCCTCCACACTGCAGGCCCCTCCGTACCCCAAGTTGGCACTGAGCTGGCCCACCCCGCCCCCTCATCTCCGTCCACACTGCAGGCCCCTCTGTACCCCAAGTTGGCACTGAGCTGGCCCACCCCACCCCCTCATCTCCCTCCACACTGCAGGCCCCTCAGCCCCCCAGGTCAGCACTGAGCTGGCCCACCCCACCCCCTCATCTCTGTCCACACTGCAGGTCCCTCAGCCCCCTAGGTCGGCACTGAGCTGGCCCACCCCACCCCCTCATCTCCGTCCACACTGCAGGTCCCTCAGCCCCCCAGGTTAGCACTGAGCTGGCTCACCCCACCCCCTCATCTCCGTCCACACTGCAGGCCCCTCAGCCCCCCAGGTCGGCACTGAGCTGGCCCACCCCGCCCCTCCTGTCCCTCCACACTGCAGGCCCCTCGGCCCCCCAGGTTGGCACTGAGCCGGCCCCACCCCCCCATGCCACCTCTGATGGGAACCGGGGCTTTCCGGACCAAGCCTCATGTGCCGAGGCGGCCAGTCAACACTAGCATGGACCGGCGAGGGCGTGAGTCAGCAGGCCAGGCCAGAGACCCTGGCAGTGTCCGCCCTGCCCCGTCCTGCTCCCCTCGCCCCGTCCACAGCAGCGGCACCACCGGGCCGTGCCGGCCGGGCCCAGGGAATGTGCTGGTCTTCTACGTCCAGCCCCACGCGGAGGGGAGGGCTTGGGCTGGAGGAGGAGCGAGCCGTGCGGGGGCCTCGCTGCTGGACGGCGTCTCGTGCCCACCTCCCCCACCACGTTCTGCCCTCTCTCTCGATCTCCTCCCCTTCCGCCCAGCTTTGCCCATCACACGCCGGGTTGGGGAACCACCACTGTCCTTCAGTACCGTGTTTCCCCGAAAATGAGACCTACCCATGCAATAAGCCCTGGCAGGATTTGTAAGCATCTGCGCCATAGAAGCCCCACCCCGAAAATAAGCCCTAGTGACGGGCGTGGCTGCGCAGCGTATCTGCACAACCCGTGCATTTCGTGTCGGAGCGGGAAAGAAGACGAGCAGCCCTTCTCGTCTGCCCCGTCATGACAGCTGCTATCCCAGAGGTGACCGGAAAGGTGCGGGCAGCCCCACCAACAAGGTTGGCTCCCCCTGGCATGTCCCGGCCATCCTGTGCGTGCTGCAAGCTGAGGCTTTTCGGGGAAAATGACACACCCCCTGAAAATAAGCCTTAGGGAAACATAAACATAAGACCCCGTCTTGTTTTTGGGGAAACACGGTATCTGGCGGGGTCAGGGGTGATGCCCGACAGCAGGCGCTCCCGGCAGCCTCCACCTCGAGGGTGTGGTCTCCGAGCGGGGCTTTCCCGGGCGAGGAGGCTGCAGGTGGCCGCCGGCCCGGGGCTGGGGTCCTCCCCGGCGCCCTGTGTTGGCCACGGTGTCGTCCCTGACTGGCCTGGTCACCGCCCCCCCCCGGGCAGTGGCTGGTACGCATCCCACGAGGGCTGTGACAATGGGAAAAGCCGTCGTGGTTCAGAGACAACGTTTCTCAGGCCCTGGGTCACCCTGTGCCTGGGGCGGGCGCCCCCGGGCCACGCCGGGTCGCAGATGCACCACCGTTCTGAGCCTCATCCCGTCGTTGATCTTGGGGCTGTTCCCGGGCCCCAGGTGTGTGCAGTGAATCCCGGCAGACAGGTGCAGGGGGCTGCTCCAGAGGCAGCGGCTGGGCCCAGGATGTGGCTCCTGTGTGCGCAGCTCGCTGGGACCCCGGGCCCGCCCACTGGGGTCTCCCCTGGTTGGAGGCAGCTTGCTTTTTTTTTTTGAGACAGTCTCACTCTGTTGCCCGGGCTAGAGTGCCGTGGCGTCAGCCTAGCTCACAGCAATCTCAGACTCCTGGGCTCAAGCGATCTTCCTGCCTCAGCCTCCCAAGTAGCTGGGACTACAGGCATGCGCCACCACGCCCGGCTAATTTTTTTTCTATATATTTTTAGTTGTCCAATTAATTTTCTATTTTTAGTAGAGACGGGGGTCTTGCTCTTGCTCAGGCTGGTTTCGAACTCCTGACCTTGAGCGATCCTCCCGCCTTGGCCTCCCAGAGTGCTAGGATTAGAGGGATGAGCCACCCCACCCGGGTGGAGGCAACTTTGGGGGGGGGTTGTTTGGGGGGGCAGGAGTCGCGCTCAGCCTGGCAGTCAGTGTGGCCAGTTCGTGCCCTGTCCCTCTGTCAGCCGGTGTCTGCCCCCCCCAAAGGTCCTGAGAAGAGCGTGCGGCCCAGCCCCGGGCCCATGTCTCTGCCAGGCTCAGCCTAGAGCCCCCCGACTGGCCCTGCTCCGGGTCGAGGGGCCCCTGGGCGGGCTGTGGGGGGTGCCGGGTGGGGAGCTGCTCCGGGTTGGGGCTCGTGCGACCCCTTCCTGCCACCTGACCTGTGTCCTTTGTTTCACTCCGCAGTGAACTTTGACCACTTCCAGATCCTGCGCGCCATCGGCAAGGGCAGCTTCGGCAAGGTAAGGCGGCGCCCGCCCAGCACACGGCCGGGGCGGGACGGTGGCGCTGGACGGGCCGTCCCTCAGCCTGCAACTTCACCTGGGCAGCAGGCTGCAGGTACGCCAGCGAGGTGTGGACGCTCCTCCCGGGGAGCCGTCGGGTGCTGGGCACCAGCCCGGGCCACGGTGCTGCCGACGCCATGGCACCCAGGAGCCGCCGTGACACTTGGAGGCCAAGATAGCAGCTGGCCCAGAGGGTGTGCGGGTGACAGGTCCTCAGCCGGTCCCCGTCCCTCCTGTCCTCCACACCGGCCCGCCGGGCCAGCCTCCGGCTCCAGCGTCCTCCCTTCCAACCGCCCCGTGTGCTGCTTGGGGACCTCGGGTGGTGACGATTCAGAGAGTCTCTGGGACGGGCCCTGGAGATGGGTCACTTCCTCGCGACGGCGCCTGCTCAGCGGTCCGGGGGGCCTGGCCGCGCGGCGTCTGCGTGTGCCGTCCCTGTCTAGCGGGCCGCTCTGCCTCCAGGCGCGAGACGCAGGGCACGTGCGTGAGTGGGTCCGTCACCTGCTCTCGCCGTGTCACACACGGTGGCCCCGCTGGGTGACCTGAGGCCTGCAGAGGTCGCAGCTCTTGGCAAAAATTGCAAAAAAGCTCCTTGCACCGAGGAGCGAGTATTTTCAACATCCCCGTATGTCGGGCGTGCCGATGATGGGCGGCGTGTGTTGTCGGCTGTGAAAATGGTCGGCCTCAGCGGTGCGGGCTGGAGGGGTGGACTTTGTCAGAGGCCGGTGGGGACGGCCGCCGCCCACCTGTCCTCCCAGCTGAGCCTAAGTTCTGTCGCCCAGGGCCACGGGGGGTGCACAAGGAGCAGCAGGATGGGTTGGGGACTGTCCCCACTGGCAGTGGAGGACAGCCACCGTGAGCAGGGTCAGGAGGGGTTGCTCAGATGGGGGACCCCAGGCTCAGAAGTCAGGCCCCAGGGGGCTGCTGGGAGCCGGGCTGTGGGGTTCGTTCGGGGTCAGCCAGGCCCTGTTCCCCAACGGCCCTGGTGTCCCCCTCCCCCACTACCATCACCTGTTCTCCCCACGCAGAGCCGGGTGGCTCGGGAGAGCCCCAGGGTTCCACCACCTTGACCGGTTCTTGGCTCTGAAAGGCCGGGAAATGGGCCCTGCAGAGTGGGGGCGACAGAGGAAGGTCTCACTTTCAGATGCTAGTTGGTGGCACAGTTGGAGGGCTCCTTTCTGCCCCTAATGTGGCCCAGGGGTCTGTGGGCCGCTGTGGCTGGGTGGGTGCTGGGGGGCTTAGGGGTGAGGCCTGTCGCAGACGCCCTGGGGTCCCTCTGGCGGCTGTGGTGGCCAGGGCGTGACCCCCGTGGAGGGGCAGGGATCCGAGGGGGCCGGAGCTGTCCCGCTTCCCCGCAGAACGGGTGACCATGGGCCCGCTGCACTGAGCTCCAGCTCTAGGACGCCGAGCCGTCACTGCTGTGTCTGTGTCCTGGCAAAGGGCCTCTGACCTGCAGCTGCTCCGCCCTTTGGGAAGCGAGTGTGCGAGCTCTTTGTATCTGGTCTTTGGCTTTTGTCTCTCGTTTTCAGCTTTTAAAATATCGTGCTGAATTGCACGCAACAAAACAGACCGTCTTACCTACTTTCCAGTGTGCGGTTCTGTGGCATTCAGTGCATTCACATTGATGCACCATCTCTCTAGAACTTCCTCATCCTGCAAAACTGAAATGATCCCTGGTACACAAGCTCCTGACTCCCCTCCCCCGGCCCGTGACAGCCCCCATTCTTCCTCCTGTCTCTGCGGATCTGAGGATCCTAGCACCTCGTTGTCTCGGTCTGTTCAGGTCCAAGTGCAAAGGTAACGCAGTCCTGCAGGTGGGCGGCTTCGACAGCAAACACGCTTCTCACGGTTCCGTGGGCCGGGAGGCCCCGACCAGGCGGCGTTGGTGTCTGGCGGCCTCTTCCTGGTGCAGACAGCGTGTTCCGGCTGCGTGCTGGCGTGGAGGGAGGGGGGCGAGAGAGCCGCCGGCATTGACCCGTTGTCGAGGTCCCCACCCCTGGGTCCTGCTCCCTCCCAGCTCCCGCCTCCATCGCGCATTGGGGAAGGGCCGAGAAGGGGCGGTTCAGCCCCTCGCGCCTGTTTTGGTGGAATCCTACGGACTTGTCGTTTGCTCACCTCACGCAGCAGGGTGTCCTCGGGGTTCCCCCGGGTTGCAGCACGTGTCAGAATTCCTGCAGAGCAGCGTTCCGTTGTCCACGCGTGACGCTGTGTTTACCGTTTGCCGTCTGTGTGCTAGCTGCTGCACAAAACCCTGCCACGAACGCGGTGTGCAGAGGCTCGGAGCCCCTGCTTTCGGCTCTGCCACCAGAGCCAGATGCCGATCGATCGGTCGGTGATTCTCCATTTGGCTTTTCGGGGATCCAGTGACCGTTTCCGTGGCAACTGCTCTGCTCTCATTCCCGCCAGCGGAGCTCGGGGCTCCGGCCCCTCCACACCCTCAGACACTTGTGGGTTCTGCTCTGTTTCATTTTTCCCCAATAGCAGCCACCCGGCGGGTGGGGTGAGGTGGGGTCCCCGCCGGTTACAAAGCCCAGTTTGACGTCTCCTGGGTGGGGTGTTTTTAGGTGGGTTGAGAGCGAGGTTGATGTCTTGCCCACACCAGGGTCTAGCACCTTTCACCAAAATAGTCTTGTAGTTTCCAAGCTAATTCTTCACATTGTTGTGTTTATCATCGTTGTTCTCACGGTTGTGATTGTCATGTTGTTGTGTATGATGATTTGTTACTGTGGATGAGGGACTCTATTTTCCAGCTTTTTCTCCAGCTTTGGAAATTGTTGACCTTGTCCCGCCCCCGTGTCGCCCTGACCCCGGTGCCTCTCGGCTGTGCCGCGGCCGGAAGGGCTGGGCGGGGCTCCGGAGAGGGTCTCGCTCCCAGCCTGGGGCAGCAGGTGTGGGCTGGGTCAGGCCTGGTTTGCCAGCCCGCGGGGATCCTCATGGAATGACGGCCAGGCCCCCTCTGGGCTTCACGGGGGTCTTTGGGCCTTCCAGGAGAGATTTGTTCCTCGAGTGACCTGCTAAGTGTGCTCTGAGCTGGAAGACAGTCTCCCTGCCAAAGCTGTCTGTAGGGCAGAGCTGGGTCTCCACGAGCTATCGGGGGTCTTGTAGATCCTTGGAAAGGTGGGCGTCCAGCCAGGAGGCCCTGGGGAGCCCCAGGATGCCAATGTGGAGGCGTCTGCAGGCACAGCCCCTGGGAAGCCCTAGGGTGGGTGTCACTTTGGGGATCTGAGAGCCTCCTGCTCCGGATGGACATTTCAGGGCCTGACTGGCTCTGGGGCAGTGGGCACAGCTGGCCGTCCGAGCTGTAAGCCCAGGCTCTGTGCGGCACCCCGCCCCTCCGATCTGGCCCGACTCTGGGGGTTCCTCCCTTCTCCTTCTTGCTGATTCCCCGGTACTGCCCTGCGCCCCACGGCACGGGCTGTCCCTCTCTGTGCCCGAGCAGAGGTTGGCCCGGGGCTCACACAGGGTGTGGCCGCTCTGCCGCTGCCCACCCAGCCCAGGGGAGGGGGGGTCCCCTCCAGATGTGAGGCCTGGGGACCCCTACCCCATTGTGGGTCCAGCTGGGGTGCGGGGCTCTCGTGGGGGCTGGCCCGGGGTATGTGGGCAGGAAGGAAAGCGAGGTCTGGCCCTGGGACCAATGCCACAAGCCCTGCATTTCCCAGTTTCAGGGAAAGAACTAAGGTAATTGGGGTAACAAGTGCCATTGTCACAGACCCCAGCCACCTCGAGGACCCTGTTGTCCTCACTGTGACCCCAGGTGTTCAGAGGGACCCAGGGGGGGAGAGGAGGGAGACGCTGTCCGGCCAGGACCCCCCAGCCCTCCCCACCTGCGGTGTGACACCCACCTACTGCCACCTTCCTCGGCTGCCACTGAGCGAGGAGACAGCGCTTAGCAGTTGCCATGGCAACTTCTCAGTGGCTGGTGTGCCGCCACCCTGCCAGGAGTGCGGCTGCGGCTGAGCCTGTGGCCTGCCAGGTCCATGCGGGAGACACTGGTCCTGCACTGCCGCCTCCCTCGGAAACGCTGCAAAGTGGCCTCGGCCACCAGGAGCGCGGGGTTGTCCGGGCTCTGGGATGTCACCTGGTCGCTGGTTCAGGGTTGCAGATCCCAGGCCACCACCGTGGGGCTCCGCGTGAGGGCAGCCTGGTCCGCCCGGTGTGGCCGGTGGAGTGGAGGCCACGTGTGCTGGGGCCACCGCTGACATTTACACAAGCACGAGTGGGGCGTCACCATCACTGCCCAGCCTGCTCCTGGACGTCCGGACGCCGGGTCCTGGACTCTGCCCGCGGGCCCTGCCTGGGTGTCAGTGCGGGGCTCTGTGCCCACTCACTCGGTTGCTGTCCCGTCTGGGCGCGTGGCTGAAGCAAGACAGCATCGACGGTGCCCAGCAGCCGCTGCCCGGTGCCAGCCTTCCCTGGGCCGTGCAGTTCCAGCAGCACCGGCTCCTGCTCAGCCCGGCCTCTCCCCACGGGGCCGCCCTGCTGTGCCCGCCACCACCCTGCTGTGCCCGCCACACCCCGGAGGGAAGAGGAGGCGATGCACCCCACACCCCGGAGGGAAGAGGAGACGATGCACCCCACACCCCAGAGGGAAGAGGAGACGACCCGCCCCACACCCCGGAGGGAAGAAGAGGCGATGCACCCCACACCCCGGAGGGAAGAGGGGGCGATGCACCCCACACCCCGGAGGGAAGAGGAGGCGATGCACCCCACACCCCGGAGGGAAGAAGAGGCGATGCACCCCACACCCTGGAGGGAAGAGGGGCCCCAGAGGGAAGAGGAGGTGACCCGCCCCACGCCCCGGAGGGAAGAGGAGACGACCCACCCCACACCCCGGAGGGAAGAAGAGGCGATGCACCCCACACCCCGGAGGGAAGAAGAGGCGATGCACCCCACACCCTGGAGGGAAGAGGGGCCCCAGAGGGAAGAGGAGGCGACCCGCCCCATGCCCCGCAGGGAAGAGGGGGCGACCCGCCCCACGCCCCGCAGGGAAGAGGGGGCGACCCGGCCCACGCCCCGGAGGGAAGAGGGGGCGACCCGCCCCACGCCCCTCCCGGAGGGAGGGGACCCAGCGTGGCCACAGGATCTCAGCGTCTTCAGGCTTCTGCGTGGGGGATAAAAGCCAAGGATTCCGAGCCTCTTCAAAGTCACTGTTTGCGTGTGACGACCGGAGAATGACATCGTCACAGACGCGGGGGCTGTGAAGACACTCCGCCTCTGTCCTCCGAGTCCAGAGATGCGACCGAGGACAGAGCTGAGGCTTGAGAGCCCTTGCTGCGGTGGCCACATCCAGTGCGTTCCCGCACGGCTGAGCGTGACACCTCTGCCGATTACAGTGGGGGAGGGAGGCCAGAGTGAGTGTGGGCGCAGGGACGGGGCTGGTGGCCTGGGTGGGTGCACCTGCCTGGCCGGCCACGCCTGCAGGCGTGATCTCTGCAGGAGTCCTGTGTCGGGGCACACCATGTGTGCATGCTGGGTGCTGCCTGGGGCTGCGGCTCCCGCCCCTCGTGGATCTTTGAGCTGCACCAGCTCTGCGGGACCCGAGTGTGGCAGCCGTAGGGTGCCGTGGGCTCCCGGCATCTCGGGATAAATCCCCCACTGCACGGTCACCACATGTGTAAGAGCCTCAGCTGACATCAGGCTGTGGGGCCACCAGCACCTCATGCTCACAGCCGCCGCCGTGGCCCCTTCGTGGGATGCCAGTTTCTGCACGAGAGGTTGGTGGCCACTTTCCGTGGCCTCGTGAGGCTTCATGGGGACAACTGGAGCCTCAGCCTGTGCCCTCCCCGGCCTCCCCTGCTCCTCTGCCCTCGTCCCATTAGAACCACACTCACCGGGGAGAGAGGGCGCCTGGGCAGGGCGGGCCACGGACGCAGCTTCTTGGGACCTTCAGAAGGACAGTGGGGGGATCTCGGGGGGCAGGAGGAAAGTGGGAGAGGAATGGCCGCGGCACTTAGGAGCCGGCGGGGCCTCTGGTGCTTAGTCGGGGCCTGTGTGTTTCTGGATGGCTCTGCGCCGGCCCAGGTGTGCTCCATGCTGGCCCAGGTGTGCTCTGCGCTGGCCCAGGTGTACTTTGGCAGAGAAGGGCATCGGGGGTGAGGGTTGGGAGCCCCCAGGGACGGCCTCTTCTGCAGCCCGGTGAGGTCTTGGGGGAGGAGGGCTGAACCGCAGGGGAAACCGAGGCCAGCCTGAGCCTCTGGCACACAGCCAAGCTGGCCATGGATCCCTGGGCACCCACTGGCTCTCTGGTCCAAAGGAGAAGCCCCGCAGCCAGGGGCGGGGTCCACGGCCAGCGTCTGTCCCCGGCGGGAGGTGGGGTGAGACGTCCAGAGAACCCTGCAGGGTCCCTCCAGGATGGCGGGAGGAACCTCGGCGACGCGTGATGGAAACGGGATTCGGGGATCCGGGATTCGGAGCAGCCGCATCTGCGCCTGGGGAGACGCCTCCCGCGGAGAAAGTCTGGGACTCGGTGGTTGCCGTGCGCCCAGGCTTAGCCATGGTCGTCTTCGAAGAAAAATGTTAACCCAGAAGACATTCCTCATAAACCCTTCCGGGCACACGCTTGCTTGCCTCAGGAGGGAAGGGGTTTCCTGCACCAGCACCGGCTGAACCGCGCTCCCCAGAACTGCCACTTCCTCCAGGCCCCCAAGCCCGGGCCCCTGCTCCTCAATGACCGAGACCAGAGGGTGTCGAGGCCCCAAGAGTGACCTTGGCCACCTGTCCTGGGGCGGTCTCTCCACGGCTTGCACGGGAGAAGGGTTGCTGGCGCTGTAGCCCGCGGTTTTGTGCCGTAACTCCCGGCTCCGCCTTGGAGATCTTCGCCCTCGATTCTGACGGACGTTCCTCAGCCACAGGGGACCCTCGGCTGGTCTCACGCTCCTCACTGCTGTCACACTGATCCTCGCTGCAAGCAATTAGCGCCGGCTTAGCAGTGTCTGCGTGGTGCCACCTTGCTAGTTGACACTGACAGCTTGCCGCTCGGAGGGTTTCGCACCTCGAGCCTGCAGGGACCGCCGCCACGAGGGCTCTGTTGTGACGGGAGCCTGGCACCTGTGGGTCTGTCCCACAAGCCTCCGTTCTCGCAGAACCATGAGGAGGGAACTTGCCTCTTGCCGTGCTGGGGTGTCTTCTGAGACACAGGTGGTGCACGTCCAGGGCAGGTGGCAGGTGGCAGGTGTGGCTTCCCAGGTGCAGGGCCTGTCGAGGGGCTTCCTCTGGTCAGCAGCCCCCACGACGCTGCTTCTGTGAGCCCCGGCAAGGCGGCACCGGGATATGGGAAGGTGAGGCCACCCGCCTGGTCATGGCTGGTGGGTGCACCTGGGCTGAGTCCTGGCTTCTCGCAGAGAGGGGTCTGTTCATAGCCGGTCCCGCTGCGGTCTGGAGTCTCAGGTGTTCAGGAAGCAGAGGGGGCCGCGGAGCTCGCGTCCCTGCGTCTGTGCCGAGCCGCCCTCTGCCCTCCAGGTGTGCATCGTGCAGAAGCGGGACACGGAGAAGATGTACGCCATGAAGTACATGAACAAGCAGCAGTGCATCGAGCGCGACGAGGTCCGCAACGTCTTCCGGGAGCTGGAGATCCTGCAGGAGGTGGAGCACGTCTTCCTGGTGAACCTCTGGTGAGCTCCGCTGCGGGGCCGGCCCTGCTGCCGCAGGGAGACCTTGCACGCCCCGGGCTGGCGAAGGGGCTGCCCCTGCCACCCCTCTGGCTCTGGTGCCGCGGGGTCACCCGACACCCACAGGTCCTGCCTGTCCCACCCCGTCCACTCACCTCCCCGCGGCCCAGGCCTGCAGGGCTCAGGCACTCAGGGCATGCTGGGATTAGTGTCCCCACCCCAGGCCTGCTGGAAGCCCAGGACATCGCTACAAGGGAGGGACACTCAGTCGGGGAGAGTTGAGGGGCCTCACCTTGGGTTCCTCTCGGAAAACGAGCACCGAGACCCGCTCCGGGAGGTGCAGGAGCTGCAGACAGCTGGGGGGTCCGTGCCTGTCCTCCCTGGGAGTCCTCCCTCATGCCAGGGGCCTCCCCACCTGCCTCCCGCAGGGGGCCCTGTGCTCTGCGATGTGCTCGCAGGTGGGCGTTTCCCCAGAAGCTCCCGCACAGCACAGGGTGTTCCTGGCAGCTGGGGAGTCAGGTGACAAACCGTCGTGGTCCTGGCCGAGCCGGCCCTGGAAGATTCAAACCCCCCCACACCCATCCCATGTGTCACCTGGTTCTCCATTAGCTAAACTTAAAGGAGGGGCGGCCGGGCTGTGTTTGGGGAGAGCAGGGCCGCGTCCTCGTTGGCAGGGGTCTGGAGCCACCTGTTCCCGGGTCTCACTCAGAGCCCAGAGTTTACCTGGGTCACTGCAGTAGGAAGGAGGACGCCAAAGTGGACGTGGCCACTTCCCAGGGGATGTGCGGTGTGGCTCAGAGATGGCGCCACAGTGGCTGGGGAGGAAGGACCTGGGCCGCGCTGTGCCGGGAGCCCGGCCTTGGGCTCTGGGCAGAGACAGAGATGCCGATGGAGGTCTCGGCCCGAGTGTGGGGAGCACAAGGATGGCCATGGCCCTCCCCAGTGTGAGGCACTGTCCTCCCACTCCCCGTCGGCACGTGGCCACTGTCCTCACCACTGTGGCCCCCAGGGCACTCACGGCCATCTGGTCTCCAGGCAGGCTGAGGGTTGGCAGGGCTGGACCCTGAGTTTATGGCCAGTGGTCTTACCTTCAGCATCCTGGGCAAAGGGGTGTCCAAGCACCGAGCACCCCTTGAACCTGCCCTGACACCTGATGGCCAGGGAGCGCCAGGCCTGGGTCACATCCCTCATCCTCACATGGGGTGATTAATCCTGGGGTCAGTGGGGAGGAAAGGAGCTCACTGTGGGCTGGTCCCCCAGTCCCCAGGACAGGCCGCCACCCAGGGTTGACACTTAGCAGTGACATTGGCACTGAGGCTTCCTGCAAAGAGGGGAGACCCGGGGTTTCCCTCTTCTGGGGCCTGGGGCTGTCTGGGAGTTCGTGTGGCCCATGGTTAGGAGCATGGGCTCCTGGGCTCCTGGGCTGAAGTTTTCCTTCCCCTTCTGCCGCAGCACCTGCCCCCACCCCCACAGGCCAGCCTGCCAGGGGATGTCTCCTGCCCTCCTGGGCTATGAAGGGCAGGGCCATCACAGCCTTGCCTCCAGGTGTGGGAGGTCACCTGCCCTTGTCCACTGTTCTCCAGGGCTCCGGGCTCATCCTGGAGCCTGGCATCCTAGGTCCCTTTGCTCTGTGGCTCTATCCTCACACCCTCTTTCCCAGGCCCCAACCTGCACCACCCTCTCCTGGCCACCCTTCACTGAGGATGAAGGTGGGAGGCTTGTGGGGGGCAGCTAGAGGGACGTCACATGAAAACCAGTTCTTATGACTTTATTCTTGAAAGATCCAGTCATTTAACAACTACAGTTATCTCTGGCAGCTCACAAAAGAAATTGCAAAGTGGAAGGAGGTTTTTAAAGTATTGTTTTGCTATAGCCATCATCATCTTCATCATCACCCTCGTCACCACCATCGCCATCACCACCATCACCACTGCTATCACCACCATCACGATCACCATCATCACTGTCATCATCATCATCACTGTTTTCATCATCACCATCACCATCATCACCATCACCACCATCACCACTGCTATCACCACCACCACCACTGCTATCACCACCACCACCACTGCTATCACCACCACCACCACCATCACCACCACTATCACCACCACCACCGCTATCACCACCACTATCACCACCACCACCACTGCTATCACCACCATCATGATCACCATCATCACTGTCATCATCATCATCACTGTTTTCATCATCACTATCACCACCACTATCACCACCACCACCACTGCTATCACCACCATCATGATCACCATCATCACTGTCATCATCATCATCACTGTTTTCATCATCACATCACCATCATCACCATCACCACTGCTATCACCACCATCACCACCACCATTCCCATCACCATCATCACCACCATCACCACCGTCACCATCACCATCATCATCACCACCATTATCAGCACCATCATCACCACCACCATCACCATCATCATCACCACCATCACCACCATCATCACCATTACCATCACCATCACCACCACCATTCCCATCACCATCATCACCACCATCACCATCATCACCATCACCATCATCACCATCACCATCATCATCACCACCATTATCAGCACCATCATCACCACCACCATCACCATCATCACCACCACCATCACCACCATCATCACCATCACCCATCACCATCACCATCATCACCACCACCATTCCCATCACCATCATCACCACCATCACCATCATCATCACCACCATCATCACCACCATCATCACCACCATCACCATCATCATCACCACCATCACCACCATCATCATCATCATCACCACCACCACCACCATCACCGTCATCATCACCACCATTATCACCATCATCATCACCACCATTATCAGCACCATCATCACCACCACCATCACCATCATCATCACCACCATTATCAGCAGCATCATCACCACCATCATCACCATCACCCATCACCATCACCACCATCACCACCACCATTCCCATCACCATCATCACCACCATCACCATCATCACCATCACCATCATCACCATTATCAGCACCATCATCACCACCACCATCACCATCATCATCACCACCATCACCACCATCATCACCATCACCCATCACCACCATCACCATCACCACCACCATTCCCATCACCATCATCACCACCATCACCATCACCCATCACCATCACCACCATCACCACCACCATTCCCATCACCATCATCACCACCATCACCATCATCACCATCACCACCACCATTATCAGCACCATCATCACCACCACCATCACCATCATCACCACCACCATCACTACCATCATCACCATCACCCATCACCATCACCACCATCACCACCACCATTCCCATCACCATCATCACCATCATCACCACCATCACCATCATCACCATCACCATCATCCCCACCATCACCACCATCCCCATCATTCCCATCACCATCATCACCACCATCACCATCATCACCATCATCACCATCCCCACCATCCCCACCATCCCCACCATCCCCACCATCCCCACCATTCCCATCACCATCACCACCATCACCACCCTCACTACCCCTGTGGCTGCTGGTTATTAAATGCCAGCCACTTGCCCAGCACTGGGCCGAGGATGTCACCCACACTGCCTCATTTTCTTTAGCAATCTTCCCAGGCAGATATTTTTATCCCCATTTTACAGAAAAGGAAATCAGGGCAGCCCAAAACAACCCGGAGATGTGCGCTGCTATTTCTGCTCCCCGGTTGTCACTCACAGGTGTCTCTGGCCCCAGCTGGGCCGAGGGGCTGGGCTCTGAGCAGGGGCGGAGTCAGCGCCTTGGGCAGGGCGCTGCCTAGACGAGGTGTGTGTCGGCCGCGGCAGGAGCGCGTCTGGCTCCCGGGCCGTGCGCGAGCCAGACCTGCGCTGGGTGCCCGCAGGTACTCCTTCCAGGACGAGGAGGACATGTTCATGGTGGTGGACCTGCTCCTGGGCGGGGACCTGCGCTACCACCTGCAGCAGAACGTGCAGTTCTCCGAGGACACGGTGCGGCTGTACATCTGCGAGATGGCCCTGGCCCTGGACTACCTGCGCAGCCAGCACATCATCCACAGGTGTGTGCACACCTGACGGGGGAAGCACCTGCCCGGGCCACCCGAGGCGTGTCCACTCCCCACTTTCCACTCCAAGCCGGTCTGGCTCCTCTGCTCCACACGTGCCCGCAGCCCTGCCCACCTGTGGCGCCTGGGCCAGTGAGTGCCCCGTTCCAGGCTCAGCCCACAGCTGCACACCGGGTCACCTGAGGGTTGCCCTGTCCAAGCAGCCCCACGGGGGCTCCCGTGCATGGACCACCGGGCCCGGCCACTTCCGGTGGCCTTCTGTTTAACCGCAGGCCTCCGTTAGCCCATCCACCATGCCCCTGGGGCTTCAAGCTCGCCTTAATGTGAGCTTAGAGGAGATGAAGTTGGGAAGCAGAGAGGAAGCGGGTTAGGGAGCAGATAAAATTGGGGAGCAGAAATTAGGCTGAGACGGCAGCCCCAGACCAACTGAAAACGTCTCAGGCTGATAGATAAAGGCCCGCGGGCCTCGTTCCTGCACCTCTGCCCTCGGGCTCCTGTCGTCTGGCACCAGACGGCCACTGAGCCCCGACTGGGCGTCCGGAAGTCGCAGCAAAGTGAGGACCAGTACCCCGCGTTGGTCAGGGACACGGCAGGACAGACCGTGCCCGCAGTTGCTTTTGTCCTCGGCCCCCGCTGCGCCCAGGGCGGGGTGCTGGCCGTGGTCCCCTCCGCGGGGCAGGGAGTGGCTGCTTTCGCCTCCTCTGACCCCCAGCGCCCCGCCAAGCCTCCCGGGCTCTGCCTCGGTGGGTGCGGGGGTGTCCTGGGAGCCCCCTGTGCCGGGGGCTCCGGGCAGGACTAGGGTGGGCTCCAGACGCGCTGCCGCCTTCTGCCCTTCCAGAGACGTCAAGCCCGACAACATCCTCCTGGACGAGCGAGGTGAGGGGATGGGCGTGCAGGCCGCGGTGCCGCAGGCGGGTGGGGGTGGGGCGCCCCGGCCGCCAGGACGCAGCTGGGCCTGGGACGGCTGCACCTGCCCCGTCTCCACAGGACACGCGCACCTGACCGACTTCAACATCGCCACCATCATAAAGGACGGGGAGCGGGCGACGGCGCTGGCGGGCACCAAGCCCTACATGGGTAGGTGCGTGGGGGGTTCCGGTGGAGGGCCTGGGGTGGGGGGTTCCGGTGGGGGGCCTGGGG